AGCCAAGAAAGGTGGGGCTGGGGATAGAAAAGAGGAGATAGCAAGAAGGGAGGAGGAGAAGACAGCCAAGAAAGGTGGGGTTGAGGATAGAAAAGAGGACTTAGCAAGAAGTGAGGAGGAGGAGAAGGGTGAGGATAGCGAAAAGGGAGTGACGAGGGGGGTGGGGATAAGGGAGGATAAAGTTAGATAAGGGTGTTGACAAGAGGGGGGGGGGGGAGGATTGAGTCATTACCGGTGACTGCGACGAAATGACAAACTACAGCCGTTGCAAAGCGAATGCGGCGGAAACAGAAAGGAAAAAAAGTTATAGAAACGCGGACGACAATTTTGAGAAAATATGAGTCACGCATATTTTCAGAAGAAAACTAGCGAAGAGACAAGACCATCTTATCGTCACAAAACACACCAGTACACCAAAAAAAAAAAAAAAAGTGGATATTTCTAAAACTGAAAAGTAAAATTAAAAACGAAAGAAGAAGCAAAATAAAGATGAATAGAAAAGAAAGAAATGGATATTTCTAAAAGTGAGAAGCAAAATTTTTTCAAAAAAGGAAAATAAAGATGGATTTTGCATAGCGAGAATTAGCCTAGTCAGCTCACCGTCACCGCGGCGCTGACATGTGACGGAGTGGTGCCATCTCCCCCCCCCTCCCATTCACCTAAGCCAACCCCCGTACCTGTCACCTGCTCGCACACGCACGTCACGTTCTGTCCACTCTCATTGTGCATTTGTTCGGGATTGCACACTCATATTCACTCACTCGTACTCATGCTCACATTCACATTCACTCACACTCATGCTCACATTCACTTCACACTCATATTCATGCTCACATTCACTCACACTCGTACTCATGATCACATTCACTCACACTCGTACTCATGCTCACATTCACTCACACTCGTACTCATGCTCACATTCACTCACACTCGTACTCATGATCACATTCACTCGCACTCGTACTCATGCTCACATTCACTCACACTCGTACTCGTGATCATATTCACTCACACTCATACTCCTGATCGCATTCACTCACTCATCCTCATCCTCACATTCACTCACACTCGTACTTATGCTCACATTCACATTCATACTCAAGCTCATATTCACTCACTCATACTCATGCTCACATTCACTCACACTCATAATCATACTTATGCTAACACTCTATCACACTCATAATCATGTTCTTGCTCACACTCCACTCATGATGATGCTAATACTCACTCACACTCATATTCATGCTTATATTCATTCACACACATAATAATGCTCATTCACTCATAATCATGTTCATGTTTATACTCACTCACACTTATAACCTTGCTCACACTCACCTACACTCATACTCACGATCACAATCATCCACTCATTCTCATTCACTCATACTCACTCACTCATAATCATGCTCATGCTAACTCACTCACACTCATACTTATTTTTCACTCATACACTCATTCACACTTATAAACACTTTCACCCTTAAACTAATACTCATACTCACACCTATACTCATACTCACTCACATTCATACTCACACTCGCACTCACACGCACTCTCTTGCACATTCACACTCATCCCCCCTTGAAGTCTATTTTCTGTGTCTTCATATAAATATTTCTTTCTTTCTTTCTTTTTTCCTTTTTTATAATCCCTCCCTCTCTGCATCTCCATTCCTTTTCTCTCGGCTACTGTCCCTGTCGGTCTGTCTGCCTGTCTGTTTGTCTGTTTGTCAGTCTGTATGTCTGTGTGTCACAAGGACCCATAGGAACCATGTGCAAATATGTTTATGCAAATAAGTTTCCTCGCAATTCATTTATCTAATATGGACCAACCTATCAAATTGTTTACTCATACGTTTATCAGGCTATCTACCTTCCATATTTGTAGAACAGTTTATCTCTCTCTTGTAAATATATTCCTATCTATCTATCTGTTTCCTATCTGTTTCGGTTTATCTACCTTTTATATATCTATATTTACCTACCTGCGGGGTTCCATCTTCCCTGTTCTGCCTCATTAAATATGTAATCCGTTAAAATTTATACAGATAAAATAACGTTACGCGGGGAAAATAACCGTCACGGAGGAACATTTGCCAGAAAAAAAAAATATCAGAGGGAGCGGTGAAGGGAGAGCTGGGAGCCGAGACTGAAGACTTCACGAGAGTTCACGGTTATTAACAGACGCAGATTTCCGTTCAGTAAGGGCGAAAATCCCGTATCTTTTTCACCCCGTCCCTCTCTATCTACCCCCACCCCCCTCTTTCACCAGCGCATGCCCTCTGTTAATTTTTGTCACTTTTTTTCATTTTTAGCATGTTTTTTTTATGATGTTTCTTCCGGTCGTCGCATTTTAATAAAATCTATCAGTTAGTGCAAGTTACTTTTTCCTCTCTATATCTTGTTTATATTTTCTTTCTATACGTATCTTTTCCGCTTATCTCAATATTCGTACTTCCCTGTCTGTGTGTATATAATTGTTTCTGTGTCTGTTCGTCAGTTTATCTGTTTATTTCTGTTTGCCTGTTCACCTAACCATTTTTTACTGAATCATCGCTGTTCTGGTCACTCTCTGTCTCTTTGTCTGTCTCAGTGTTTCTATCTCTGTCTGTCTGTCTGTCTATCAGTCTGCCTGCCTGCCTGCTTGCCTGTCTGTTTGTTTGTCTGTCTGTCTGTCTGCCTGCCTGTCTGTTTGTATCTCTTTCTCTCAAAATTCCAACTATCTTTCGCCATACTAAATGAAACCTAAATGACTAATCGAGTATAAACTCCTCTGATTGTATTCCATCAAGTTTAACAGTATGATTAATTAGTCTTTGTCTCTTATCAGTGCTAATGCAACGCCCAAACTTAACTGCAACATCTCGATTCAATATACATAACCAATCATAAGCTTCCAAATGGAGTCCATGAGAGAACTTAGATTTAAGGGGATTGGATTCCTCTCACACAGTCGCCGATACTTTTTCTGCTCGAACCGTTTTCTCCCGTCCCCAGGCTCTCTCGCTACATGTAATCCTTTATCGTAGCACATCGGATAGTTCCATTGATTAAAAGTGAATAAACCAGTTGATACGTTAAGCGAAGTCTACAACATGAAATTATAAAAACATTAATGAATTTAACCTAAAAATAACACTGGCACTCAACCCCGCTTAAACGCATAACACTAACAAAGGATCATTTTTATTTCCAGAGGCTGTAGTTAATCCGATCCAATCCTATTGTCACGTAACATCGACAGGGCTGTCAGCATTAAATGCGATTAGCGATTGGTTGCACGAGTAACAAATCAATTTAATTCTGAACTCCCTTGCATAATAAACTTTAATCACAATAGGTTAAGGATTATTGTAAGGGATTGGTGTTTAAGTGCTATTTATACTCTGGATCCCTTAAGGTTCATCAAAATACGTTTAATGCATTAATCATTGCTTTAATTTAGTGTCTAGTGATAGAATTCGAAACATACTTATAGACTACAGTTGTGAAAGAAAATGCCAAAGGAAAAATCAACTTTCATATAAAATATCTATGAAATAACGATAGCATTTGACAAAAATGACCACCCCACAGATGAGGATTCAATAGAATAATTATTTTACAGCAATCATGGTAAAAATCCAACTCATATGACAATATTAACAAAATAAACAAACAAATTTACTACAGCAACAACAATAACATTAAAAAGGGACAGATAGAGTTTACCTAATTGGACTATCTAACCCACCACGCCGGGCTGTCACACACAAAGGCTAGGGCAATCATGGACTTCTATTCATATTTACCCGCTCAGTATTTAAGGTCCTGCCACATCCTGACATTTTGAAGCTCCTGACTTCCATGGCCTATTGTGTAGTTGTGTAGGTAGTCCTGGACTCGCCAAGGTTAACTTTTTTTTTTTTTTTTTTTTACTTAGGCGCTTTCACTGCCGGTCGATAAATCTGCTTTTTGTTTTGCAGAAGAAACTTTAATCTCTATTGGAGTTGATGTAGTGATTGCATCTTCTTGTGATTACCGTGTTAACTTAATACTTGAAAACTTAGTAAACTTCTGCATTGCCTATTTCCGTAACGCAAGGAAGGGCCAACGCGAAACAAGTTGTTTTAGGAAAGTGTTGCTTGTGGGTCTTATAAAATGAAAGTTTCTCTATAGTAACCAACGAGACAATTCAAGTAAGATATTGTCACTGTGTCGAAATTTATTCATCTAATTTTGAATAACTCATGCTTCCCGGCACGTCGGCTAACCTCAATAAACATCAAGAACGTTTGCCTTGGCAGTGACCTTCTGTTTTACATCTAATAACTTGACTCACGGATGCCCAAGCACACGCCGGGGCCGGACTGGTCAGCGCGCCTCGTGGCATCGGCCGCCGTCGGGATAAAGGTCACCGAGGACTGCGGTGACGTCATCAGGCCAGCAGCAAACATCCTTCGTGGATTCAGGGGACTTTCGTCTCTATGGACTGAATGGCCGTGTTAGTAAGATAATGCATTCCCACGACTGGTCAGAGTGTCAGGTGTTCTGAGAAGGAAAAAGGGGTTAGATCAATATAGTTTCGGCCGAGAGAGCGCCTCAGCAGCGTCGATTTGAGAGGTGAATGGGTTTGTTCCGAGTACGCGGCGCACCGCTGCCAGCCTCCTTCGGCAGGATTTACCTGCAAACGAGTAGTTTATTTCGTTCTGTGTTGTGTGCAATTGGATCTAATAATGCACTTGCATTGACTAAAATCGTTATTGGTCTCAATCTATATTGATAAACACTGGTCGCGAAACCACTTCTCTAATGAGTAATTGATGTTGTGAATATTGAATGGTACTTGACTGTGACATTTATGACAAGTGGCGGTGACCGGATGGCTCATTGGGTCGTGTCATAGTTCATGTAGTTTACGCCACATCCAGCTGGGTGCACAGACACACGCCTGCGCAGAGCCTGTGTCCGGGGTGGGGCACAACCTCGTTAAAACCATTAATCCGCACAACTCTCTATAACTTGACACACGATATTAACTCTTGCACACATCGCGAATATCCAGAGGACGCGTTTTTATCGAGGAAGCACCTGGCGCCAAAGCGATTTTCATAATAAGAGCTTAAGTATTTAGACTGATACGAGATACGGGCGGCGCTCAGTCTGGGAGCAGCGGGCGCGACAGGCGG